GACGGAGTGTGTGTTTGGACCAGCTGCACAGCAAATCTGTTTATTCTGCACAATTTGGCATCAAACACAACAGACTGCTGAGTGCCTGCTCCTGCTTGTGGTGCCCCATTAAAATGGAATTTATTGGTGCTTTAAGAGAAAGCCCGAATTACACATTTTTCCTTCTCTGCCCCATCCTCCTCTCACTCTCTTTCAAAATCGCACTTTTTCTTCTTTTTCCGGCTGTGGTGATGGTAGCAGTGTGGAGTTTTTTCCACTTCTATCAGCAGCTGTCAGACAAGTCTCAGAATGGCTCATTACAGACCCAGAAGGACAGGTATGGTAGGCATGCCTCCTTACCTGTCAGCCATCGCTGCCATTTCCACTGTCACCTGAGTGAGTGGTGTTCAGACTTCAAACTGAAGAGAGCCTGCACTGTCCATAAATGTGGTGGCATCTCATGCAGCTATAACTCAGAGTCAGAATATGCTACACCTGAAACAATCTAAACAGTCTTTAGTGTTTTATTGTTGTTTACTTTCTGCTCAGAGGCCACACATTTGGTTGAAACGTGCGCTATCTGAACGTGATGTCTATGGACTGCCTATTGGCTGAGCATTTTTAAAAGACATTTTAATGTCACATCTGTTTCCGTTGCATCCAGGTGACAGGGACTGAAATAATCAAGCCTGGCAACCTGTTCCCCATTTAGTTTACACTTGTAACCAGACTTTGAACTCCTGCTCTAAAGAGAGCGTGAACTCTGGACCTACATCTCGCTCCATAAATCTCCTCAGCCAATGATGAATTCATATTTAATGACCATGGCCATCGTCTGGGAAGGAGGAGCATTCTTTCATTATTGCCTCTTTCCCCCTGCTGCTTGGTCGAGATAATTGATTTCTCTGTGGTAACAAGGTATCGACCCCGCGTGGTAGCTGGCTAAGACGGCGGTTCGATTCAAAGGAGGGGTGGAGAGGGAGCAGAGGGGAAAAGGGAAAAAGAAGGAACAAGGGATGAAGCCAAAGAACAGAGAATGAGAGCAGGAGCTCTGAAAGCCAACCTGCCATACAATTATTTGCAGTTAAAAAACCTCACTGACTTTAGGTGGGTGTAGAATGGACAATGACTCTTGTCTTGTCTTTCAGGGTTTTAAAGGCAGAACATAGTTTGGTACTTCACTATTGTATGTTTAATGCACCAAATGCAAAGCATATTGACCACAATCTGCCATAGAATTCACTGAAAACGGATTCAGAAATAGGAGGACAAGTTTTTCTGTACATGCTTAGACTGCGGGCGGTACAGTGACGTAGAGGTTAGTGGTGCCACCTGGTGCCTTTCTGTTTGGAGTCTGCATGTTCTCCCTGTGCCTGTGTGGGTTCTCTCTGGGTACTCCGGCTCCCTCCGCCAATCCACACACATACATCTTAGGTTGATTGTTGACTAAATTGCCCATAGGAGTGAGTGTGTGTGGTTGTTTGTCTAAGTGTCAGCCCTGTGATAAACTGGCAACCTGTCCAGGGTGTACCCCACCTCTCGCCCAATGTCAGCTGGGATTGGCTCCAGCCTCCCTGGCACCCTTTTCAGGAATAAGTGGTAATGGATGGATGCTTTGGCTGCTAAGAAAACAACATTGCAGGTCCTGGTCCTCCTGTTTAGAAAATTTTGTTCCCTAAACCAACTTCTCAGTCTCCCCAGGCCATTTTACAGAGATTATAAAAGCAAATCTATGATGCCTGACCTAATCCACTGGTCAATCTTCTGAACTAGTGAGCAGATTCTGCATCACAGGTCTACCCTCTAGCAAGTCTGCAAAATGGTGTTTTATGTAACAAATGTAGTCAAGATATGCAAAGACCATTTGTCTAGTGGGTAACATAGCTTTTGTACATTAATAAACATCTTGATTGAGCTGACACCTCTGAGGTGCTGTAATTGTTGGCCCTGTAGGCAGCACTGCAGACACTTGCTACATGCTGCACAGCCAGGTGTTAACTAAGCCTTATGAATAGAATAATGTATTGATTGCATTCAGCTTTCAGAGATGGTAATAGTACTTTCCTGCTTGCATTTTACTGTATAAATAGAGGACTTAAGTAATGCTGTTGTTGTTGTGTGTTCACCAGTGTAGGTTGTAATTTATTTAAGAGCTCTTAATTGTACTAGCTACTCATCTGGTCGTCATTGGTCCCACAGCAGAGCGGAGCTCCATCACTGCACACTGGGGCATGGTGGAATATGGAACTAGAGAGACACACTCCACACAGGCAGCTGTTTGATGTCTGCAGCTGCCGAGTGTATGTTTCACCGTAGAGCATAAATAAATACACAATCCCCTCATGAGAGGACAGAGTAACACACAGGAGACGTTATTTCAGGCTAATGAGCTATTAATGTTGATTTGAAATTCAAACATTTTAGGGGATCTTCTTAGCAGCCATTCAAGCTTTGTGTGCGAGTCTGAATGACAAAGAAAGGAAGGGAAAACAAATTCATCTGGCTGAACTCTGCACATTGTTTTCATTTCTTCCCCACACAACTGTGACCAGTTGTACACACATTAGCATATTAATGTCTACCCAATATGACATAAATCACATCCAGGGGAAAAATGTATTTTTTTGTACTTTGAGTTCTTATTTCTGGCTCATGTCCAATCTGCTAACATTGAAGGGGTGGGATTTATGGCTGCGACCAGCCACCAGGGGACGATTGACTCACGGTGGCTTCGCTTCTGGGAGATGTCAGACTCTCCTTTTATACAGTCAGTGGCTACTCATCTGACGCCTGCGTGCCGAATTATCTGCTCTAATATTGTCAGGAGGGTGTTTTGTCTACTACCGTGTTTGACTTAAGTCAGTGAATATCAGGTGTAACCACTGACTGAGCTTTCTTATTGGGGTTGAAGTCACCTGCTGATAGTGACTTGGTGATCTCTGACTGACTTGTTTTAATGATGGTACTTTTATTAGCTCAGTAGTTTGTAACTGTACTAACTATACATATTCTGTTGACCTATTGTGTATTGGCTATTAAGAGTTTGTTGTTCTCCTTTTCAGAACCACACATCCAAATGTACATACGACACAGCAAGAATGGCTTTTGGATGGTTTATTGAGGGACTAGACCAAGATTTCCCATGATTCTCTGGCTGGAATCACACCCCATAATCATCTACTCAAAGCACCATCCTGAAGATTCTTCAGTAGCTGTCATACCAGCTATGAGATTTTCTTACTTGAGCTAAAACAGAGGGCTGTTAACATTCAAGATCACTGGTAAAAACTATATTAGTTAGACAATATTTCACTGAAGAAATACAACCATATAATGGAATCAGTGTACAAGACTATGAAATACATATAAAACCAGGCAGTGTTTGAGTCTAGCAACCTATGCACATTTCTTATCGGTATGCAAAACACAGCAAGGTTTGCTTTTAAGGATAAAATACTGTCACTTTGTCAACATGCAAATTTCACCACAAATACCACTTGAACCGGTGTCACCGTCACACTGATATCTGCTTGCAATAGTGAGAGTGTGAGAGCAGTAGAGAGAGACTTCTCCTGCATTACTGGTAACTACCAGAAAAGTAGTGTGGAGAATGTAACAGCATTTCTAATGATGTGATCATAATATAAGGAGTGTCAGTAATACTGACATGTGCATAATTTAGAGTAGATCCTCAACAGTGGTTAAAGCTTGCATATTAAAAGTGGTGTAAGAGCAGCCTCTAGTGGCACTTATTCCCAGGTAGAAAATACATTAACTAGATTCTTGCATAGATACAGTGCCAAATTACTCCCATTCAGTGTCAATGTTTACATTTCAGTACTGTTAAAGTATATGTCATGATTCTTATGTCATATGGTCCGCTCAACATAAATATAAAACAAAATGTTGAATCAGCAGATGGAAACAGATGGCAGTCTACATGACCAAAAAACAGGAACATTGGCCAGTTTACAAGTTCTTTTATCTTAGTCCAATCAAACTGAGTATTGTGTGCTCGTGTATTGCCGTTGCTGTGGTTACAACCACAAGTCCAAACACGGACAAACACCAGTGACTACACAGCTTATGCACATCAATGCCAAGTTTTTTAGAAAATAATGATCCTTGAATTGATTTAGAATGGTTGGTCGGTCATTAAAAACCGTTAAACCTCTTACGGTTACTTAGGAGACTACAGTTTTGGTCAATAACAAATCATTAGTAATCAAAGCTATAAAAAAAAAAAACCCCACACACTCATGCAGCAATCTTTTAAAAGACAAAATGTAGTTAGAAATTCTTAGCTGAAATACTTAAATAAAAAGCAATGATAAAGTTTTTACATGTCAAAATTGCACAGTAGTTCAGAATATGGGTGAGCTTTTATTCCTCCTTGGTTCTTACTTCAGCTGTGGAGAAGCGAAGAAGTTGCCCTGGCAGTTAGAGGCAGCGGAGGCTTTGCTCTTGCTCCCAAATCTAGGGGTTGGGGACAGACAGTGATGTTTTACCTTCGTAATTGTAATTTTAGCAGACAACTGAAAGAGAATGTTTAGATGTAAACATGGCAATCTAGTCTTTATATGTGAATCACTAAGTTAGCCTAATTTGTTAATGATTTGACTACAAGCTTAAAACTGTTGGACTGTTTGTAAAATCACTTTAGGCTCAAATATGCAAAACCAGAATACACTCACGGCATTGTCTTTGCGTAGTGTAAACATTGGAAACTGGGGGAAATAGCTGGCCTGGCTCTATTTTGATGTTTTTCTCTTCATGGTTCACATTCATGTTTGCAAGTGACATATATCCACCTCTCATTTAAACACTATTAAGCTCTTAAGCTGCCGTCCATGTGCAGATTTAACTGAAATGCGAGTTGTTACATGCACACAAAAACATCATTTGTGCAACAGGCAAACGCACAGGTCCCTCACCAACTGCTCAGTTACAAAATGTTCCTTCTAGCTTGGCTTGATCAGAAGCTTCTGCATAAGCATTCAACAAAAGTAAACTGAGTCTCCCGACTTACCCGTCACCTTTACCTTCTGGTAAAAGTGACAGCCCTACTGTGTTGAACGTTAGTGTGAACATAGCTTTATAGAGAGTTACGGATCATATCCTTGATTAACAAATCCCTCCTGAACATGCTTTAAGTGAAAAAAGATAGCCTGATAATAATTTGCAGCAAAATTTGTTATGGCCAATATCACTGGATTCAGTGTTTAAAGAATTTGGCCTTGTTGTTTCTCTGGTTAGTAGAGTGTGATTGAACTTACATAGTGGTGCTGGACAGCGTCTGCATCATGCGCTGGGACAACGAGCTAGAGGAAGGGGTTTTGGCCATCATCTGTTGTTCTGGAGTGGTCAGTGGTCCCAGTATGCTCACTACAGTTAAAGATCAATCCAGTTTAACATTGCTGATTTTGTCGTTTGTCAATCAAAAATGCTGAGAATAAATACTTAGAATCCGGTTTTGATCTCTCATTTGCCACATGGTGTTCCTGTTTGTGGTCTTTAAAATGAAACAGAACAAACTGTCTTACATGCCAACACTCATTCTTTTTTACATCAATGATTCATTCTGTGATTTACCTTTGTGGTCTGGAGTGTCAGTGTGGTGACCATTGTCCATGGCTCCATTATCTGGATAGGCAAACTGGCACCAGTACCTTGCTGGAATACTGAGCAAGCGCTCTATAACCTACAGGGTAAAAAAGCCATATCTGTAGTTAAAACTATTGTGAAGAACAGAAACACTGATCATAAGTGTGAAAAATAAGTATGCAAAGTATACAAAAACACACAGAGCCACATTAACATGACTGACATTTTCATACTACAGCACTGAACATGAACAAGTATAGACAGTGTACTCATTCTTAAAACTTCTCACTGACATTACCCTTGGTTGTCTACTGGTGTCGTGCAGAATGGTCATAGGGTCTGGGTCAGGAACAGCATGACCCACGAGGGTAGGACCAAACACTTTGGCCAAGTTGTTGACACCCATCTTGGTATCCACACTCTGAGACACCCTAGAAAAGAAAGGAGTGAAAATTTGACCCGCACTGCAGAGATGTTAGAGGCCAGAACATGCTTGTTCACTCTAGACTCAAACTTTACACCATCTGGGGGGAAGTCTCTGGTTTACATTTACTTTTATTTACTTACTTTACACCAGTCGTGTCTAATGGTGGAACATAAGAGCTGAATTGCCAATAACAAAAATTACTTCTGCAGATGAATCATCAGGCAGGCCAGAGTGTCTCGGTTAGGTTGAGGCAGCCCACTGATGGTCTGGTACAACATGGCCATACTGTTGTCATCATCCTGGATTTCTACAACAGCATTAACACCAATCATTTAGTATGAATTCCTCAACCCAAAAGAGCTGATTTAATCGTTCAGATGAAATCCTTGTCCTTCAAACAATACAAAAGCATTGAGACAAATAAAAGAACATTGTAGATACGTACCAGCTGCTTCCATAAAATCTTTGTTGAGGTGGAAAGTGAGCAGTGGCTCTGGAAGGTTTCTTAAGAAGTCTTTGAGAACACCTGCAATGACGTTTATATCTTCTACTTTGTTAAGCGGAGGCAGAGTCTTCCCTCTAACCAGCTTTTCCTTCAGCTCTTTCACCAAGCGCTCGTGACCAGACACTCTGTACAGGCCAACCTGGGGCAGGGAAAAGATTAAAGAAATCGGTTCTTACTGCCTGACTGCACTACTGAATGAGACAACTAATTAAAAGAGCCCATGGCATGCTTTTCCTTGTTTTCTGACTTATCTACAATGTTAAAACGGTGAATTATCATCTTAGATGTGACCTAAAGCTCAAAAAAATGGAGGTGTTCGAATGTTCCAGTATTTCTGTGCAGAAGTAACTCGGTCTTTTTTTCTAACAAAACTAATTTACGTGATAGTTTAAGAATTTCCTTGAAAGGGTATAAAATCCTGGCCGTTGCGCGTTAATGTGAGCTTGCCTGACATCCATGTAATTATTTTTTTTTATTTTTTAAAAAAAAATATTAAAAAAAAAAAAAAAAAAAAAAAAAAAAAAAAAAAAACAGACATCCACCAGTGCCATTTTAAAAACTGAGTTTTTCAACTTTGCCCAGTTTTGTGGATATATTTTCCCTCCTGCTGCTGCACTGTGACCAGAGGATGTGGAGAAAAATACAGGGCCTGAGGTTACTTGCATGTCTGGGAATGTTCCTGTACAGAGACTCGCTGTTTTACCGGACCGGGTTTAACCTACAAGCAGCCAGCCTGTGAAGACGCCGGCGGCAGTGACTGATCAGCTCATCAATGCTGGATTTCCCCAGAGCACAGTACCTGTTTGTTTTGACTGCTTGAGGCCAGTGTGTCTGCCGCATTTGATGTGTTGCTGGTTAAGGAGCAGATCAACGATCCATGATATTATTGTCCGCTACGATACCGGTTTGAATTCATTTCACTATTTTGGGACTGTATGTGGTCGTGTGGGGGAAGACACAGCGACCACCGGTTGGATTTACTGACCTTAGAGCTACTTGAAAGGGAGTGATATTTCCACTGCTCGCTAAGACTTAACAATAAATTTAAAAAAACAAACAAACAAAAAACACGTATGTCTGTAAAGAATTGATGCTGTTGCGGTTCATTGTGCTGTTCACTTTTGAATCTGCAGCAGAAGCTGTGTAGTCACGAACTGTCCTCATTTTTAGGAAGAGGTTTTCTAGTTTTATCATTCTGAAATAATTTGACTATTTGGAGTTATGATGGGTGCCAAGCTAATCTAAAGATTAAACATTAAATGGCTGGAAATGAGCAAAATGAGCACCCCATGGGCACTTTAAAGAAATGACCTATTATACTAAAGGGGACAGATCAGAGCATTAACATGAATGTGACTCTGATAAGGTCTGTCTCACCTCATGAAGGCCTCTGTGCTCAATCTCCTTAATGCAGTAGATAACCAACGCTGGGATCTTTGGAGCAGTGACGGGAGCAAAGTCAGCCAGGGTGGCCTAGACACAGAACACATCATTTTATATATGGGTAACATGAAAGTATTAGAAAAATAAAGTAATATAATGAAGTGGAAATATGTACCTCTGTGGTCTTGATGGGAGTGCCAACAGCTGTGGGATTACAGGGCAAGGGACAGCGTTCACGACACTCTGGATGGGTCACAACCCTGCAATCCTGGCAACGAAGGTACATCTTGCCAAACTTTGTCCTCTTTCCACATGGCACACAGAACTCAGACTTGATTACCTTAGTGACAGAGTTAACACAGTGCTCAAGGTGAATAGATCACACTTCAACAAGATGGAGCAGCAGGTAGAGATCGCTCTAAATCTGAAAACCAAATTTCTCAATAGAAAGTCAACAGCCTTACAGTTTTAGAGATGAAGTGGTGTTTCTTTGCTCTGCCATTAGCTCTGGGGGTTTGGAGTTGGGCTGGAAAATCTGCAACTGCTGTGCTGGGAGCCTCACTGGCAGTCTCAGACTGGTCAGTTGTGGTTGTATCACCCCAGGCTGGAGCAACTGTAAACACAATCACATCAGTCAAATCCCAAAACCAGCGAAAAAAACCCCAATGGCAAAAGTTGTATTTAAACCGCAGTGTTTTAAAATAAGAATCATTTTATTTTGTTGTAAGGGCCCATAAACAAAAAACATCAAGATTCTTACCACTCTTCTTTCGGCTGCGTGTCCAGTAAGGCACCGCTTCAATGGTGGAGACGGCCTCCACAGCACCACCACTGACAGGCACAGTGATGGTAGTTTTGGCCACAATAGACTCATTCATCTGAATCATATGACCAAAGATAATTTAATGATCTCAGTACTTTCTTTTAATAGTCACTTTATTTTCCTGCTATTTTCCTATAATTACATATTGTTTTAGAGTTCAGTGTTATATAATACACTTAGCTGAAGAGGTCAGCTTTACCCTATCTGAGGAGCGTCCAGTGGAGCGAGGTTTCTTCACAGCCTGGGGAGGAACCTCAGCCAGTTTTCTAGAGGAACGCTGCGGATTAATATGTAACTTTTAATTACACTGTCATGGGCTGGCTAATGAAAAACTGCACAACCAATAAACCTTGCAGGTGTATACAAAACATGACTAAGACCCCTAACCTAAAACAAATGATCAAAATTACTTTTTGCCATTAATAGAAACAAAGAAAATGTGAGTAAAGGCCGCTCACTCGTTTCTGGCGCTTCCGCAGTCTCACATTCTTCATCACAGAGGAATCCCAGTCCTATAGGAAAAGCAGAGTGACAGCCCATAATGCTTATGAAGTAAATTATTGTGTCCCTTAGTGAACAGTTACCCCAATATTTGACTCTAACGTCTCCTAAAAGACACAGTGAAACTCTTAAGAAACAGGTCAATATACCAGAGAGTCGTCCGTTTGGTCATAGCTGATGTCTGACAGCAAAGAAATGGATTCATCGATAGTTGTTAACCTGCAACATAGATCAGTGTTTTAATCTTCCTGCCTGAAGCACCTTCTTCTCTGTCCGGGGCAAGTTGGAAATGACACACTGTTCACAAGCTTTAATATAGGAACTCACATTTCACATACAGTACTCACTGGGGGAAAAATAATGAAGCATCTAAATGTTTCAGAATCAGATAAAGAGGGTCTGACCTTCGACTGGAGTTGGGGTTGCTTTTAGCAGTCTGTGCTGCCTGGGAGTGGGCACTGAGGAAGGCCAGTGCTGAACGCTGCTCCTCGCTCAGGTGGAAGCTATTACTGTTGTTCTCTGAAAGCAGCAGCTCCCGGATCAGCTGCAGCTGACGTTCCTGATACATCCATAAACCAGTAGGTGGACAGGAACAGGTCCACATGTAGTAAATACCCACAGACAAATGCATAAACAGGCATTATATACCTATAATGAACCCTTAATATTTAGACAGAATTATTCACATGCAGCTTAAAAAGTGGCATACAAGGTGAGCATTTGCAAGAAATACAATTATTTCATCATTTTAAAATGAAACTAGATTATTTCTGTAACATTATCTACACAAGTAAAAGAAAGGCTGTGTAACCTACAGTCATGGCCAGAAATAATGGCACCCCTGCATTTCTGTCAGATAAGACATCACTTCTCCCAGAAAATTGCTGCAATCACAAATACTCCCAGGCAGCACAGGCTGCTAAAACGACACAAATGCCAGATCTGATACATTCCACACAGAAATCCAAAAATGGACTGGACAGAATTATTTTTTTCTGCATTTTTTATGGTTTTTGGTGTTGTTCAATGCAAACAAAAGAAATAAACATGAGAATACCAAAGTATTTGTGATTGCAGCAATTTTCTGGGAGAAGTGATGCCTTATCTGACAGAATTGCTGCGGTGTCAGTATTTCTGGCCATGACTGTATAAACACATTTACACTAACCAGCTTCTCATGGACTGCCTCAGCCTTCTGCCGTCGGCGGATCTCCACATCCACCTGGTTGCGAGCATGCTTTAGTTTGACCTCCAGGGCTCCCCTCTCAGTCTCTGCTTTAGCCAGCATCTCTTTACAGGAAACCAGCTCCTCACCTGCCCGCAGCCACTTCTTACGGCACTCCTCAAAGTTCACTGCCACCTGGAGGAACTCTGAATAAGAAAGAACAACAAACTGTTATATTGCTGCTGTGCAGAACAGCTGTTTTCCTCTGTTGATTATGTCTGTTAAGTCTCCAAAACTCCACTGGTTTCCATTAGAATAGCAATGATGAAAATTTCCTTTAACAGAGCAAAAAAGGCAAGAGTGCTCAGCTGTAGTGAACAAATGAGTAACAGTGCTTTCCTTTATTTAAAATGGAAATGAAATGCATTATATGTACTACTACTGACAAGAACGTTTTACTACATCCCAAAACCTATTTCAACTGCCATTTGTGTCATGGGGTGCACCATCAATTTCCAAAGCCTGTCTATAGTCCTGTTTATCCCTGTCTGGATTTACTTATTAAATCACCAGCTCTATACTTAGCATAGCTGTACCCACCATTGAGGTCAAATTTTTTTCTGAGGTGTATATAATAAAAGTCCAGAAAATAACTCTGCTTTGCTGCTGCAAAGATAAGCAACACTAAGATAAGCAACTGTCTCATCTGATCACTGCCACTGCTGTACTGCGGGTGGAGTGGATGATCTCATTTTTACTCAACATGGTGGTTCTTTGATTATATCAACAAACTGGACAGGCAGCTGAATTTGCTGAAATATGAAAGAAGTAACTAGAGAATTTTACCAACAGACTGTTTCTAGTTCAGTCCCATATATCCCCAGACACCATCCCCAGATGCACCATCTGCATCTCCTGTGCAGTTGTGCTATATTACACAGTGGCCGTCCATCATGGTGCTGCACCGCCTAATTAGTTTCACTTGAGTGACAGAATTAAAGTTAGCAAATAAATTAAAAATAATTAGCTAACATTAATTCCATCCATCCAAGGTCAGACTGATAAACTTTCAGTTGAAATGGTTTTCAGTTTGTGTAAATGGTGGAAATAAGGGTTACAATGAGGTCCTCCTATATCAATGGTGAAATCTAACTAAGAATGTTTGTGATTTGGGAACACCAGTAAAACCTGCTCCTGTGTTTGGATTATATTTGTGTGTGCCTGTCTCAGAGTCCCTGCTGTGTTTCTCCTATTTATTCTTGCCTCATCTGCGCTTCATGTGAAGAAGAACCGAAGAGCACATCTACATCAGGAAAAGCTGTTTTTTAGGGGGTGTGGTGGATTTTCAGATATTGGACCTTGGTATTTCTAAAACCCTGTGCACAGCCATGATACTCAGCACTGTTTCTGCATATGCGGTTAATGTTTCATTGCACCATCTACCACGTTTTGGAATGGAAACAGTATAAAATGCACCTAACTCGGGCTTATTACTGTTAATAAGGACGCCGCCATGCCACACACCCATACAGAAGTGCTTGACGCTCGACTGTTTCACTGACAGGATTCTAAAGATGTAGCAAAAACCAAAACAAATTAGTGAAATAACTTACGTGGTTCAATGCTGTCATTCAGACCATCCACCTGGGCTCTGAGACTCTGGAACTGGCTGTACAGATTCACCACAGACGACCCCATCGTGTCTTCTTACTGCAGCTGCGTTAGCCGAAGTTCAGTAGCATAAGCCACAGTCATTTAAAATGAAACGATAACTACATTAAGTTACTGAAAGAACGAAAACATCTCATTCTTGGTTACTTATATCTGAGCGTTGGCCACAGCGTTATTTCTAATACATTCAAAACAAATCACAGCCTTACTATCTGAATTAACGTAATGTTACATGGCAGCTACTTCACCATGTCTATGATGAAACTACCTGCATGCTAACAATAACGTTAGCACGTTTGTATTGACCTGACTTAGCTCGTTACCCATCCTTACGACCCCGTGGTCGTAAAGATGGGTCGCTTACCTGTGCGATATTTTTACTGTAAGAAGGCGGTTGACATGTAATGTTATTGTACCCGATGTCATAAAGAGAAGTCTGACTATTTATTCACCACGCCAGCTCCAGCAAAACCACACCTATTTGCAAAACTTTACACATACCACTAAAGTTCAAAATCAGCGCCGGTTTTCTTCCTCGTTGTGGCGGAAACTAGGCACTCTATCGCCCCCACACAGCCAGACCTGTAACTGCAGCGGGTTCCAAAACTGCTCCACGCATCCACTGATGATATCCCTATGACTTGCAGGGATACCTTCAGCAGCAGCAGCAGCCTTACTGTGCAACATTTAATGTAATAAACATGATGCAAAACAATTTATAGCGCACTAGAACATTTTAAGCAACTCAACCATAAACAATTTGTGTGTGCCTGTATGATTTTTTTAATGTGTTGGCTGTATGATTTTGCATTACACTTGCCCCAGAATATTGTGTGTGTGTGTCTGTGTCTGTGTGTGAGTTCTGAGCAGGTCCATTAGAGTTGACTTGAGATAATAGGATGTGTCAGTCAATATACACTTTCTGTCTTTATCAATTATTCATCTCTGTATGTACATTTCCCCCAGTCACACATCTTTGAACTGCTAGAATTCACTTTTTACACCAGTCATTACCTGCCTTTTTTTTTTTTTTTTTTTTTTTTTTTCTGTTTTACTGAATGGACTATAACTACTATCTCCAAGCATAATCAATGTAGCACTTTAGCTAGAGAGATACGGGCAATATTTAATTTTGCAAAATAAAGCATCAGGAGACTTTTTTTCATTTACCATAATGTTAAGTGCATGCTTATAACAAAGTGCAATTAGTTTTTCATTTATTATTTATCAGAACAGACAATATACTATAAAAGGCACATTATTACTTTTTCTGAGTTTATTCAGACAGACAACAGAAGTCAGTGTACACCCCCACAATCATATAAAGCCTTGTACTTGTACTGTAATACCTGCACACATTTTCTTTAATTTACAAACTGTGTAAAGACAGAAAGTTTACCTGAATTATTAGCTCACAGAGTTTTAACTAAAATGTGCACGGATACTGCAAGAACAAAGCAGTGTGTGGAAAAAGTATCATGAGGCATTCATGCAAGGTACAGAGGAAGAGGTTATGCTGACAATAGAGTTAGTCTCTGGCACCACTGGAAGGATAATGGATCCACAAACGGGCTCACGGGAAACACTTGGCAGATATACATCTACTTAGGAGTATGCATTTAAGTCAAACACACCCTCTATACATCCTGTGCATATTTGTGTACACAAAGCAAAGTGAAGTTTAAAGATTTGACATAATCAAAACAAGCATTTTTATAAGGTTTTTCCCACTGATGTGCATAGTTTCTGTGCACTTTGGTGTGTACTTCATACTTGGAGAAAAGTGCTTATTTATTGAACAGAAACACTATCATCCAGTGCAGACAGAGTAGACACAAATGCATGAGCACCTAAATGTAATGCAATCCAATCCATTAGCCCTGCAATAAACACAAGTATTCTGAAGCTCACACTTTTGTTGAGATGGTGTCAGGAGTTTAATTTAATTATCTGTACATTTGGAGGCCGTGGTTTCTGATTGGCTTGTATTAAATTATGGCGTATTGTAAAGTACTGTAAAGCCTCAGATTTAGACCACACTATATGCAACCTTGTACATTACATTACAGACCTACCTTGGAGTTCAGTCAGCACCTCTCTGACAAGTTTTGCAAAGGTTGTATTTATGGTGCAGGTTCTGTGTTGGATTCCATTATATGTTATAGGTGTACATGTATTGTGTTAATCCCATATTGTAATCTGGCACCAAACAAAAATGTCTCCTGAGTTAACAGCATGTTTTTACAAAATGCAATGTCACACCAAAGTTACTTTACTCATCTGGTAAAGGACGACAGATGAATGAATCTGTTGGTGCTGAGTCTTGCATGTATGTGGAAGAGCTCTGGTGAAGTGAGTATAGTGGAAAGATAATGTGCCTATGTGCACTTCAAACATTCTATCAACTGAATTACAAGTGGTATCTCCCACTCAGGGCGTGTTTACTGGAAAGGGCTCTCTCTTTACTTTACTGCTCCAGGTCTTAAACTTCATTCTCATCATCATCATCATCATCATCATCATCATCAACAACAACAACAACAACAACAACAACAACAACATTTGTATCTTCCATTTCTTGAAACCTGACACTTGGTAAACATCCTGAACAACCCAAACACATTCAGGGGTGGGTTAAACAGCTCATATTTTCCAGTTTGAAAAATGGAACGCTATAAAAATATTTTTATCGATTTAAGCTTGTCTAAGCAGTATATATAGCTTGTTGCTTAGAGGAAGTACAAGAACTTTCAAACTAAAAGAAAATAAAAAATCTCCTGTCCACAGTCTTCATTTATAAACTATAGATTAGATGTAAAACTCTTGTGTACTGGTAAAACTATTACCTTAGAAGTGAAGTAAGCCCTGTAACGTTCTCAATGGAACATCAAAAAAGAGTCAGGCAGTGCTCAAGGCTGAAGCTCATTACAATACATTTATAATAGTGCTGTTTCTCAGAAAAGAGCAGTTAAAATAAAAAAATGAGAAATCAAAAACTGACATTTCTGCTTTGGCTCAGTGTTAGTATTTTCAACATAGGCTCTTGGCTCTTGGAGTTATTTTTTATTTTTTTAAGAACGATGTATATGGGAGAAAAAAGACTTGGCATTGGCTATTACTTAGAGTTGTAATTGTATTAGGGACTACATTCGTGTGATTTTAAAGTAAGCTACAGTGTGAATTTTGCTGTTTTTCTGAAGTTATAAATAATGGTGCCACATGCAGAGTGTAAGGAGGTACCGTGTGCTACTGTAAATGATCACAGACCCAATTTTAGGGTTGTACAGTGTCACAGTCTACTGATCTCCATGAGAATGGCACACAGGCTCCTGGGTACAGCCCACAGCTGCTGAAAATAAATTAATAAATAAACTAAAAATGAGCAACGATGTGTGCTGCCTGTGTGGGTCTTCAGGAGGCCATGGTGCAAATGGGAACAACAATGATGATAATGATAGTCAGTGCAGTGGCAATGAGAGCAAGCAGCTTGCAGACCTTGGCCCGGCGCACGTCAGCCTCTTTACGCCTGAGTAGAGCATCATAGCCTGGAGTGTAGATGTCATCCACCCAGAATTCCATGTTGTTGGGGTTCAGAGAATCCTGGCCCTGGGGAAAATAATGCCATTTAGATTTTTATAGCGAATATAAAGTCTTATGGATTGAATGCAAATCATAATCCAGCCTATTCAAATACAGCATACTCTATCCTTCATTAATTTGTGACACCAAGTCATATTTTACTAGCCCCGCTTTCTGAAAGCCTGCATAATGCCAATTTAATCATTTAACTAAATCACTGACTTAAAATACTGCAGGGGCTATTACAGAAAACAGAGCATAACCATTCTTGCCTGTAAATCCAAAGGGGATATTCGAGCCTCTCGGTCGTCTACAGTCCAGATGGGCCTTCCTCGCCCCTCAGCCAACCTGGGGTCGATAATCTTCCCAGAGGTTAGCCCACCTGTCAGACTGCTGTCTTTGTGGCGGAACAGGGATGAGTTAAACACTTGTTCCACCAGGCTGGAAGACTTCTGGGAGACTAGATTAACTGTGCTGCCTGACTGATCTTCCTAGAAGGGAAATGATTCAAACATACAGTAGATTTTATATGAACTGCATATAGAATACAACAATATCTATTTTTACTTTTAAAAGATCTGAAATTCAGGCAAAGACAACAATATCAGTTTAGCTAAATGTCATCACCACACATGTACATGGATTTTTAAACTGTGTTTCTGACCAAACATTATATAGAGTAAAGGGTTAAACCACTGTCCCACAAAGTGACCTCATGAGCTTGTCAACCAACCGCATAATCACAGCAGAACACATGTTGTGCGACCACAGAATTTGTGGTCGCACAACATGGACACACAGATGGTGCAAATACTCTATTTTTTACTGTACCTTCATAATGGATTACAGTTGAATCAATGTAAAAACTGAAGCTCAAATGCTGAGAAACCCTCTTATTTAACATCTGTTTCTTCATGTATCATGGAAAATAAAATGTGCACAGCAGAATTACTCTACCCGTCCAACTTTTCCATGTGAAGCTTTGCCATCTTTACTTTTAGTGAATGACACTGCCCAGTCTCTTGCAGAGTTAGAAACATTTAGCTGTTTGGAATCAGAGATGTTTTTGTCTTCCGGCTGAGTTTTGGAGGCACGACGAGATGGTCCATCCTTCTTCCCTTCTTTACCCCCCTTAGAATCCGCCTGACTTTTGATGCTTGCTCTGTGCTCTCCAGGAGTGTTCCAGTCTTTCCAGTCCAGACTAGTAGTGCTGCTCCCAGGAAACAGATGCCCAGATACAGACAGAGGCTGAGGCTCTGAAGAGTCAGAAGGAGTTACAGGGTGACTCATAAAAGAGGAGACACCACTGAGAGGCTCCAGCCACCGCCCACCGGTGCCTTGTCCGCCACCACTGATAGGCTGCTGGATCTTTTCATCCAGACGCTGCAGAGCAGAGAGGACCTGGGAAATCTCATTCTTTACATCATTCAGTGACTCCAGTTGTCTTTCTATTTGGCTCATACGGAGCAGCAGTTTGCAGACACTGGCCTTCAGCCCATCGTCACTGCTTTCCAGAGAGTGGAAAAGCCTTTGAAGTTGACCTAGACGGCCACGTCTGGCTTCAGGGGTGTCCTGGCTAGCTGCTCCTGATGCATCACTGGGGTGCAGTACTCCCGTGGAACCGCACATGCTTATGTCATCTAAGAAACGAAAGATGGCACTGATATCATCCTCACAAAACTCAGGGTCATCTAATGAGGTCATAAAAGAGAGGCGATCAGCATGCACCAGGCTACGGAGGCGCCGGGGGTCCGGTGGGTCTGTCTGGGTTCCCTGAGCCTTGACTCCCTCAACTCCACTTAGCAATCCACTATCACCACTCTCACCTCCGGAGGACCCCAAATTGCTGATAGCAGGTGATGATCGTCTTGGAAGCTGTCCCCCCTGGGATTCCATGCCCATCCCAATGCTGCCCATGTCTATCTGGTCTTCTAGACTATGACTCTTGTTGCTCCAGATACGCCTAGGGGTCCTGGGGGGCTGGAGGTGTCGAGGTGACCACTCTGGGATTGACCGAGGTCCGAAATAAGTTGAGTCTTGCAGGTCATCAAGGCTTTCGTGTTTAGCCCGCTGCTCTGGTGACTGGTGGACTGTTGTTGGTGATGGGTAAGGATTCGGGATTGTTTCAAACCTGTTATTGTCAAAGCCTTTCTGCTCCTCTTTGGGACTGGGAGACTGACTGCTAACAGTCACCTGGGGTATTAGAGGTGGCTGGTTGTGGAAGTTCTTCCTAAAGATGTTTCTCTTCTGGTCTAAAGACGATCCCTGTTCAGCATCAAACACCTCCATGGCCGCAGAATCTCCACTAGACTCACTGTCCGTCTCCAAAGGCAGGTAGATATTCTTCATTACCTTATCAGGCATTTGACCACTAGGGTAGAAGAGTGTTGTATGAGGCAGGTCGAAAGACACAGCCCTCGCCCTCATTGGAGGAGATGACACAAGTGAGATGGGATCGGGGGGGAGACTTGCTCGCTTCCGTGCCGAGTAATTTGGAAACAGTAAGTGCTGGTCGATAGGCCTCCCACCCGAGTCAGAGTGGGCGCGTACTCTTTCTTGACCAGAGATGTTCAGCTGGTGGATTCCAGGCAGACTAGGGCCTGGGGACTGGTCGACAGGGAGGGCCGTCTGGGCTCTCATTGGTTGACTGTCATCACTGGTCCCACCAGTCATCTGAATGAGATTGAAGATAGTTACAATATCAGCAGCGACACCTATGGGTGACAGCCCCTGGCCTCTGGCAGAAACTCGGTCTCTGAAAAGAGTGGCTGGGAAACAGGGGTCCCGGCTAGCAGCAGCAAACAGCAAACTTCTAAGCTCGATGAGATGCTCCAGGTCATATCGGGTGCTAACCATGCGACACAGGTCCTGGAATGTCAGCCACTGCCGCATATTGGCCAGTTTCTCCAGGGTCCTGAAAAAAAAAGCCATGGCTGCTCACCTGAGTGTGAAAACAGGCAGTTAGAAATGCATAGCACATTCATTTGTACTGCACCTTTCAAAGACAAGGCATTAAAACTAGAAAATAAAAAGCCTCATAAACAGGTGAAATGAAAGTCTCATTTAATCATTTAAAATATTTATGTTTGGAGATGGAAATTTAGGATGATGACAATTTTGTTTCTTTAAAACCGTAATTGACCTAAAAAAGTATAACCTACTAATAATACTTACGCAAAATAATATTAAATGTTTACAGGGCTAATTAAATTAAACATACTGAACAGTAGCTATTTATTACTTTTTATTGTATTGTATTAATATCAAAGACATGACTGTAGATTATATCTATTATTTAAAAACAGTGATAGGAATAATAGTAGGCTAATTGGCTAATACATCGAACTCCATTATTATTTTTAGTGTCTCACTTGGTTATAATAGCAACAGTGTTTCAGGCATGAATGACTACTGTTTCACATATAACTGGTCGAAAACCTATGACATTTAAAGTAGGCTTTTTCATTTCGGATGGAAAAAGCCCTTTGAGTGACTATTTGGAAAGCGACCTTAATTTTTATGGCCCTAAAATAACCGATCATCTGACCTGATGACGCCGTCACACTACGCACGTCCTCGCTAGACATTTTAAACCCACTCATTTCTGTTAAGAGCCTCAGGGCATTCTCAACAAATGTAGGACGTAGTCTACCGGTAAATATAATAACTTGACTTCAGGAACTTTATTCTAAGCTAATGAGTCGCATTTAAAAACGATTTTCTTATAACATGCAGCGCAACAGTCCGTACTGCCAGTCGCCTTTTGTGGATCAGCAGGGACAATAGCAGTGATATGTTACAATCCATTTTGGGTTATTAAACATGTAGACTAAGCGGGGGTGAGCCTAGGAGTAGCCTATTTCCACTTACCTGAATCTATTTAAAGAGATTTACAGCCCACCTGCGTCCATCAGCATTGACAAATAAAATCCATTTTTACGCCAAAATACAATCCATATTCCTAATAGATCCGATTCGCCTTACACTGTCACACTTCTTTCACGGGCTTCTCTGTTTGTTAGCAGTTACTAACCCACAGCCCAGGCAGGAGAGGAGAAAATTAGAAATCAGGTCATCTTCCCACAAGTCCCTGCAGTCCCCTAAGGGACCTCAAAGTACATCCAGACGGTTTCCCCTAACTGTAGATCAGTGAGGACACTTGAAAAGACAACAGTCAACCCACATATCTAATCAATTCATTGTAAAAAAACAAAAACAAAAAACAAAAGCCAAACATTTGTCAGGTCACGCCTGTATGTATGGCTGGGTCAACACCAGAGGCATAGTTTGTCAGGGTGCTATAGCAATAATTGACTGGGTGTTGAGCATACAAATAAAGAGCAGATTAAAAATTGATATGTGCTAATTGAAACTTGTAAGACTCCAAACTGGCAGTAAACCATAGGGTCTAAATTGCAATCCATATAGCTGTATACAGAGCTGTCTGCCAGACTTCAGCCCTCCTAGACTTTTCACCAGTACTCTACACATTATCACCCATAAAGGCTTGTACTTAAAACCCCATTAGAGCAAGAGCAGGGCAAGGCTTTCATCGCTGAGTAGTAGCACTTTGCTACAATGAGAATGGGTGTCTGTAATTCATCCGACAACTCACTGAACTCACTCATCCATCATCCCGTGCACTGAGTGAATGAGCCGTGGTATGAAAAGCAATGTGGATTTATGTAGGACAATAATGTATTAGTGCCAGGTCTGTAGCATGGTAGCTCTGCATGCCAGATGGAAAAAGTACAAAAGGTGAATAATTCATTCAAAAGAGAATTTAAATTGTTAATATTTTATGAGTTACACAGTTTAATGGACCATTGATAAGACAAACTAAAAACAAAGTGACCTTTTGTCATTATTGTAACATTTCAGTGACCTTTTTAAACAAAGTTTGTATGAACATGTAAAACTAGACTGGACAGAACATTTTCCAATAATTAGGAATAGATCCATCTTGCTTGATACAAAACTGCTACCAGCAGACAAGTATTGCTTAATAAGGCATCAACTATAAAAAAAATCTGTGTTTTCTTTTGCAATCCATCACCGCCACCTGCATATCGTAGACATTACTGTGTGAGGATTTCAGCTGAGATGAGACTGTCGATCTCTCTTCTTTTTTGGTTTTGATTTCATCACTGGAGTTACAATAGTTGGAGTCAGTGAAGGATTCAAGGCTGGATCTAATGCTGGGTTCAGGGCCAGCAAGTCCAGTATTGTGGTCCTCTGATCACCTGTTGAAATATGACATTATGAAGGAGAGAAGACAGAGGAGTGGGTAAACATGTCTTTACTTTCTAGGGTCAGGTTGCTTACCCGTGTTGTCCTCTTCACCGCTGGGATCTGGATCTGGACTGTGGAGAGAAACACGGGCCAAGGCTGCCAGCTCAGTGATGAAGCTTTCTTCTGCCTCCTAATGGACACAGCAACATAAACCTTACATAAAAGAATGGTGCAGGGGAGTTAATATATTCATAAACCTACCATCAAGTAGAGAAGTACAGAAGACATGAAGCACACTACCAGGAGCTGTCCTTTGATCCTTTCCATGGTTTGATCTTGAGCTACTTTCTTCCGCCTCAGTTCTTCATACATGATCTCTGGTTCCAGATCACAGTGCTCCAACACCCTCCTTTTGTGAAGTTCCACCCTAATATACAAGAAAACAAAGAAAAACTTTAAATTATGCTCTTTTATGGTGAGATTTATATGGGAATTCAAGGATACCTCTGTTGAAACTCAGCAGAGGTGGGCTTTTTAGCCCAGTTCACCAGCTCTCTCTGCAAAGCTTGGGTCAGCTGACTGCTGCTCTCTTGCTTCTCATGCACCTCTGAAGGAAAAGTTACAACAGTAAAGTTAGCTCACAGTACTGCTACATACTGATGCTAAGTGGGTTTTTATTAGCAGATACATTATAGATATGAGGCGGCGTCAAGCTGCTGAGTATTTTTCTCTTCGCTTGAATGAGGGTAGGAGCTAGGCAGCTTAAAATTATGTGCATGTGTGTCGTGATTATCATCTCACCCTGGTTTATGCTCAACTGATCCTGTTGTAGTTTTTTAGTGATGTCCTGTAGCTGGGAATAATACCTCTGGACCAGCACAGAGAGTGAATCTTTGGTCATGTATACGCTCTCCGATGCAGCCTCTGTCAGGTGGTCCTATTGAGGGGAAGGGGGGAGGAAGAGTGTAATTTACTTGACAAACTAACTTAAGAAACAAACCACAGGAAACTCTGAGAGACTAATAGGAGGGGGATGACAATTCTTACAAATAGATCAATCAAATCCTACCTTCAAGCCATTGCCCATTTTTGGAGAGGTCTGTAATTCAGTGGGCGGGGCCTCCATTATCTGTTGGATAGCATGGCTGAGGGCATTGCCTAGCACCAGCTGTGCATAGCTCTGAAGAAGCTCTGCCCCTGTTTCCAGTTCAGAAAGGAACTCCTGCTGGAAGCTGTGGTCCACCAGCTGACTCTCTGGACCAAGATGCCTCTCTGCTAGGCTGGCACTACTATTCTGTGATCAGTATAAGACCAGAGCAGTGTTCAGTCTGCTGTGAGCATGAGCTTTTATGTTAGGTAAGTGATAAAAAGGAGACTAGTGTATTTTGCAGTGGTTTACAACTTGGTTTTACTTTGAGGTGCTTAAAAGGATGTATTAATAAAAGAAAACATTTTCCCCACCTTGAGAGATGAATTGGCAAAGAGCTGGCTTTTACTGGGATCTTCCATTAGCAGAGCTCTGAAATCGGTCTGAGAGAGTGCCTTCAGCTTGGACAGCCTCATCTCTTTCAGCATGTGCAGACAGAAGTGCCTGACCACAAAGTATCTCTGTACTGCCACCAACAGGTGCTCATGTTTCTTCTCTATCAGCCTCCCCACTTGGCTGAGAGAAAGAGCATGTTGCATTAGTAACTCATAAAAATGTTAAGAGACTGTACTGGATAAGTGGCAACATATATATCTTATAAATCTGATGCTCTCCACAGATTTAGTTTTTGTTTCCATCAGGTAATGTTTCGCACTCAGTATTCCATAAATGCTTTGTGACTGGTTCTCCCCTCTCACCTGCTGATTGTGTAGCTCTGTCTGGCCACTGTTGCTCGGAGGATCTTCATCTGTTGTTTGCTCAGATGTCTGAGACAGGCCTGTACCAGAGCCATCTCCTCATTCCAGACCTGTAGAAAAAGAGGCTCAGTTAGAAACTGTGAAAAACATTTAGTACAATATAAACGGCTACAAATAGTCCATAGACTTAGATTTAAAAGAAACTATATTTAAAAATGACAGGGAAATACTAAAAGAATCGAGCTGCCAAGCACCAACAGAGGAGCTGATAAAAGGCATGTGATTCACTACAAGGTGTCTACCTGTCCCTCTTTAATCAGCTGAACATTCGTGTCCTCTAGTTGCAGCTTGACAGTGCTCTCTGCATGCTGCAGCTGTGCAGCTAGTTCTTGCTCCAGATCCAACCACAGCTTCTCACAGTGCTTAGCAGAGAGCTTTGACTGGGCAGGGACAGACGCAAGGAAAACATCCTTGGCCCGCACTCCAAGACTCTTTGACCAAGATATACGAAGTTTCTGAAGATATTAGAAAAATATTTAAGTAAGAGTATTGCTGTATTTACAGTGGGTGTTTCAGCCATGTAATGGCTTCACTGGCATTATATACATAAACAATTATGTAGTGAAAAAACAATAAATAATGGCAGCTCATACCCTCCACAGGTCACAGAGGGCTTCAGCCACCCTGTTCTCCTGCTGCAGCTCCAAGTCAGACACTTGCTGCCTGTGTTTCATCAGCATCTCCTGGTACACCTGGTGGAAAGGGTGCAGATCAGATTGAAGTGACAATGGATTTACAAGAGTAAAGAACTGAGAAGAGATCCACGACAGCATGAACCGCCATGACTGTATTATCACACCTCAAAATTAAATAATTGCAGGAATCTACAGCCAGTTGCTTGGCCTATTTATTATGCAACAGTAATTCCTGATCTACATATTGAGGTAAGTGAGGCAACATGTTCTGACCTTGGGGAGCTGCTGTATGTCACAGTGAGCCTGTCTCAGTTCCAGTGCATGAGCCTTTTCTTTAGTCTGGCTCTTCTGAAGCTTCTTCCTCTTGGACTCCAGTTTGCTGCACTTGTCAGTCACCAGCTCCTTTGTCTTCCTCGTGCACTCTGGAACATGAACACTGAACTTTTAGATGAACAGGACTAGTTGCGTATTCCGTAATAATTGCTGTTTGTAAAACTAGCTGTCTAAGTATGGTATAAATGTGCATTACTATGCTCTTGTAATAGGGTAGTAGTAGTGACAACTCATTTCCAAGTTGATGAAACACAAAATCTTTAAAAAAAATCTTTTTTTATTGTGTTATCTTGTAATTTTGAATTGTAATTTACTTTTTGATGTTCCTAATTACACTCAACCTGCCTGTAGATATAGATCAATTTGTAATTACCTACATTTTGCAGAATACAAAATAGGTGCCTCTAAGACAGAAGGCCTATGAATGTGATCTTAGCAATGGAGGAGCAATAGCTTTTAAAGAACAGTTGCAACTTTTAATAGTGTAGGATTTTGTGGCTACATTGATTTGTAGTCTCATGAGACTAACCCTGTCTGTGATGCATTTTTTCCTGCAATGTTATTGAATGTGAATGCAAAAAAGTAAAGTAAGCCCAGAAAGGAAAAGGTCTTTACCTGACTAATGTTAACACTGTTCACATTTAAATTGTGTCTGAATAGACGAGACTATTGATTATATGAGTGTCTGGGATACAGTAAGAGGCAAGATATTTGGTGCTGTCCTGAAAGAACCTGACCTTATTTGAGAAGCTAAAGAGGATTCCCAGAAAATGGTCTATTTTGAGAATACATCATATAGTAAAGTACAGCATTAAGTTGAAAAGTAGGCTAGACATTGTCCTGCTGCCTGCAAGCACAGAATAGCAAAGTATAATCTCAGACACTTCCACAGACATTTGGTGAGTCTAAGTTTATTATTCTTCCACCTTCTTTAACTCATGAAATACTTATAAAAAAAAATCCTAGTCATCTTTTGTCTATTGTCTGTGTTGACCTGATTGTACTTGGTTGTGAATAGCACATCAAAGTACAGTTTATCGTTACCGTAGATGAAACAGGAACCATCTTCACATACCCTCAGTGCACTGTTGAAGGCCTTCTGTCAGAGCAGCCTGAACTTCTGAGAGGATCTTTTCCATGTGGCTAAAGCTCAAGATGTCATCACTTGTTAGCTGCTCCAGTGTTGTTGCTATCAGGCCCTGCCTCAGAGACATTTCCCACCTTAGCAAGGCAGGTTGGGACTGAAGAAGCCCCATTAGCTCCTCCCACCACAACAACTTCTGCTGGATCCTCTAAGAGCAGTGGGAGAAAAACATATTCAAACTCTCATATTCAGTCATTAGAAACTTTAGTTTTTCAAATGATGACACAAGGGTTGAGAAGTCAAATGTAGTATCGCTATACCTTTAGATCTACTGTTTGTATGTTCACTAGGTGGTTCTCTACTAAGAGGAGAGCCTGAATGAGAGAGTGAATCACATCCTGGGCTTCATCTGTCGAGAAAATACTGGTCTTCTTTAGCAGATGCTGACACAAGTCCTCCACCTGTTTGCTGAAACCTTTGGACTGTGAAAGCATAGCAGCGTTAAGTTTCCCTTTAGCTCTGTCAGTGTAAATAAAGGTGGTCTATTTGACATTTTATTATTAGTAGTAGTAGTGCAATTATTACAAAATTTGCTTTGTGGGTTTCTGTCTTTATTTTTACCACTTGAAGGCCGTGTTCAAGGAGATCTTTCTGAGCTCTCTCAGTCTCCTCCAATGTACAGGGAGCATCATCATTCTTCTCGCCAGCAGTGTGGCCTGTTGGCAACAGTTTCTTCAGCTCATTCAGTTTCTAAAATGCCAAATGATGACACTTTTAAAAGCTTTTTAAATCATAAAAGAGTGCATTATGCCACCATATGCAGAGACCAATGGACCTAAGACATAATGCAATGTTTACTGCGGTGCTTTGTGGGGGGAAGGTGGGGACGATATACTTACTTGTCACAGTAAACATTGCATTACATCATTATGTTTTAGGTCCACTGATTTCATATGAACATGCTATGAGTATGAAAAGCCTTCTGTCAGTAACAAACATTTGGCTTTACCTTTTCTTGCATTTGAAAAATGTTCTTGGAGAAGTCAGCATCGCTTTTGTGTTTTGGAAACTGGAAGCTGAATATTAATTTCACCATTTGAAGAAAAATCTATAAAAATAAATAATAAAAATAAAATGAAACACATAAACAGACAGAACCGTGTCATGCTTTATATACAGTACATATCCACATGATTAGTATTAAATGAAACAATGACAAACACTCACTTGGAATTTTTCCTCCTGAAGCTGAGAGCAATGCTGTTGTATATCCTGCAAGGCCAAACAGTAAAGGCTGATTCTGCCTTCAAAACTGCAGGCATAAGAGTATTTACACTTATGACAGATTAAGGTGTATAGTTATGGCTTCATGTCTAGAGATTACTAGTTCCTACCCTGGTTGTGTCAGTGTGTAAGGGTAGTAGGAGACCCTGGTAAAGCTCTGGTTCTGCAGGCTCCTGGGGACCAGCGAAGAGGAGATAAACTGACTGCTGTCATCGTTGTCCTGCTCTTGACTCAGAGACTCTCCATCTGTGGAGGAGGATGACTCCTCATTAGGCGCTACCGGCATCTTGGAGTGCTCATGTAGTGACGGGTTGGATGCTCCATCTGCTAAAGGCTGACAGGTACAGTGAAATGAATTTAGTTTAACTTTAGTGGTCAGTTTGGCAGTGTTCAGGCCAGTTTATATGAATTAAGAGAAATATAATCCTAAACCAACTGCTTGCAACATACTATTTTATACCTTGGTAAGCCATTAACATGTAAGCCTTTATTTAAGCTGTTTTGTAAGGAGTCTAATACTACCTGGCAGAAGGTCTATGGTTATTATGGTGATATGCTGTATATTTGTGATAGACTTACTCTGTGCTTTTGGTTGATGGGATAAACCACCTTCGCTCTGGATGCAAATGCAGCCACATCACTGTTCATGGGTGACTGCTTCTTCTCCTGGTCAATGAGTAAACAGACTTACTAAATGGTTAGTGGAAAGTTAATTAGTAAACATCAACAAATGTGTAACTATGAATGAAGCATGAAGGATGTAGGTTACTGTCCCATACAACTGCAATTCCCAGCTATATAGCATCATTTTACCACTACAGAGCTAATGTAACTCGCCTACCACATCCACCCGTGTAAAGCTACAATGTCTTCTATATCAATGAGTAATACTTTGACATTGGTGGTGCCACTTGGAGCCTCCTTTCGGCTGTTGCTGATACAGTCACTTTGGTTGTTGTCCAAGTCCCCAGCATCAGGTTCAAGCAGTCTCCTTGCATTGTAGCCCTAGTGGGATGAATAAAAAAATATATAAAAACAAAGACCGCATATACATGATCAAAAATGAGCCTAGCATTAGCTTACTTGTCTCGTCAACAGCAAAGGCTTCAAGCAGAAGACATATAAAAGAGCAGCAGCTAAAATCCCCGAGAGTCCTCCACACACTGTAGCCACTGTTAACAGCCCTGTGTATATGTGCAGCGACTCGGAAAAACTGACAAAAACATCGGTGGCGCATCCCGGTATCAGTTCATGCTCTGCCATTTTTCGGCAAATTCATCAAACTGTAAGAAACCTAGCATTTCTTAGGATAGCCCTCACAGCAATAGACAACATCTATTGAAAGTAGTTTGCTCCTGGTTGTTCAATCTAAAGTTCGCATATGTTCTTATGTTCTGTGTCTATAACTTTCTGTAAAAAACTTGTTTAAGCCAAAACTTTTGTGAAAACGAACTCGGTGTATATTTTAGTAAATGGGCGGACGGAGAGTTGAGAGGAGGGCCGCGCTGCGTCAAGATAATAGAGTTAGCCAGGGTTAGACCGGAAACCAGGTGAATTTGCCTCCAATATAAAAGCACAATAATCATCCATGGTATAAAATTGGGGAAGATTGGGAAGATTGGGGAAATAACACTAGCCCAAACACAGACAGAAAATTTGTAACTAAAACATCACACGTATTACGGTTGTGTTACATTACACCTTTCAGTGTCCAATGGTCGAAACATTTTTTAATCTGAAGGTTATGATCGGAAATAAACATATGCACATTGTTGCTCTTGTCTCTTTCGAGGAGGAGTCTGTTCTTCCCAAGTTGTGGAAATGTTTTCCGAAGTTGGACGGTAACTGTGATTATGGGCATTGTGTTATTATATGTAATAACATATAAGTAAAATGCAATTGTGATTGATGTCTATCAAGAAAAAAACTATGGAAATGTTTTTATCGCGGCTTTCACCATCCAGAAACAATGCAGCCAGTTAGCTAGCGGCTCTCCTCCGTGAGAGTAGGGCACCAACTTACGAATGCCTCAGGTACACTGTATCGCGGAGAGGGTTACGATATGGTCATTTTTCATAAATATCCAAGTGTCGTGTTTTTTTCCACCTCCGTTATATGCCTGTTGTTGTCATGACGTAACAAGGCGTGAGACACGACGTACCGGTGTAACAGAGTACAGTGTTGGACGTCAGCCTCGTTATAACGGTACCTCTCAGGATGCATCACGGTACACAACATTACTAACACCTTTCCCAAAGATGCAGAAGGTGAGTCTTTTAAATAGTAAAAGTCAATAGTGCCAGAGGTTTTGTGTTGGTTTCTCCCTAGATGTTTTTGTTATTATTACAACTACTCATCACATTTTACTCTTCAGAGTTGTATTCAGAAAATACCAATGAATTATTAATGTAGTCGTATCCCTTTAAATCTTTAAATCTTTAACTTATATGTAAAATACTGCACACTTCCTTCCACTGACAGGTCCTCTCCTGTATCCACGTAAAGCAACACGACCCTGGTTGGAGATCAGCAGAGCCGACAATGCTTAGGATGGATGGTTTGCTCTTTTTTCTTAATTTTGTACCTCAATCATACAGTGAAATACAGAATAATTTCTGCATAAAGAGGAGTCAAATAATTGTAATTGCAATAATTGTATATTTATCTAATGGTGGCTGGATGCTATTTAATTATACACTTCTTACAATATATCTACAGATGATGCAGCCAGAATTCAATAATAGTTTTATTTATTATAAAATGAATTATATGTAGAGTGCTATCCAGAAAAAAAATTGCATTTTAATAAACCGATGAATGCAAAGCCTTAGTGTGTGATCTCATGATCCTGCCTGGTGGAAACAGTAGTAGCCACATGTTGTTATTCTAGGTGGTGCACAGAAAACGGTGTGGGCTTCATTGACAATTGGGAAACATTTTTGGGAAAACCTGGTCTCATTAGCAGAGACGGCATCCATCCCACTTAGGATTGTACGGCTCTCATATTTAGAAATCTGGATGAGTTTATTTTGCAGCCTAAATTATGACAACTGAGAGTTGAGACCAGGACGCAGGGTCGCAGTCTCTTTGCAGCTGCTACCCACCCAAAACTTCTAGTACCCCATAGAGACCACCTAAGTTATATAAATGAAAAACTATTATTATTCATAAGAGGAGGAGTTATTCATAAGAACCTAATTAAAATTAAGACTACTCCTCTTATAGAACAAAATAATAGGATAATCAAATGTGGGCTATTAAATATCAGATCTTTCTCATCTAAATCTGTTAGTGAATGATTCAATAAGTGAACATCAGACTGATTTATTTTGTCTCACCGAAACCTGGTTACAGCAGGAAGAATATGTCAGTCTAAATGAATCCACCCCACCTAACACATGCCTGGAAGCACAGGCCGAGGTGCAGGTGTGGCAGCGATCTTTGACTCTAGCCTATTAATCAACCATAGTTATAACTAATATGAAACTCTCACTCTGTTGTCTTTCACACCCAAACTGTAAAACTCAAAAGCCAGTTCTATTTGCTATTGTATAACATCCACCTGCCCCTTATTCACAGTTTTTAACTGCATTCTCAGACTTTGTCTGATTTAGTGCTTAGTACAGATAAAATAATCATAGTGGATGCAGATTTTGACAATGATAGCCTTGACAGTACAAATCAATTCATTATTAGACTCAGTTGACTTTTTTCAGTGTTGCTTTTGACACCACTGATCACAGCGTCTTATTGCAGAGACTTGAACATGTTATTGGGATTAAAGGGACCACACTAAGTTGGTTCAAATCTTATTTATCAGAAAGATTCCAATTTGTGCATGTTAATGATGAATCTCCAATGCAGACTGAAGTTAGTCATGGCATTCCACAGGGCTTTGTGTTATGTCCAATTCTCTTCACTTTATACATTCTCCCTTTGGGCAATATTATCAGGAAATACAGCATAAATTTCCATTGCTATGCAGATGATACTCTGTTATATTTATCTATGAACCCATATGAATCAGATTAGTTGGTCAGACTTCAAGCATGTCTTAAAGAAATAAAGGTCTGGGTGACCTGTAATTTCTTACTTCTAAACTCTGACATAACTGAAGTTATTGTGCTTTACTGAAACTGCTCAAACATCCTTTATTTACCTGACAACAATGGTAAATGTATGGGCCTGTGGTGTTCCCTGCAGTGGGATCCATTTCTTCTTCAGCTCCTGCTGGTCCATGGGGACACTCCTTTTACAGTTCTTTTACCTACATGTCAAATGTATTGCCTGTCCGGGTTCACAGAAGCACCCTCACCAGATACAACCCAGGCCACACTCTACCTCAGGTGTGTTTCTACAATACTGCAAAACAGTTCTTAAAGGTTAAATTTTAGGAATGGCTAATTAATGGAATATCATGTTGGCAGTAACTGATTATACTATGTTTTTATGTTTCTGCAGGTCCAGAGTGTAGCACCGCCATCTGCATTTGGGGTCAAATTTCACAAGTGCGCACAGGTACAACATATTGTTTAAATAGCAGTCCCATTTACAGTATCCATGTACGTTTGATTTCAGCATATTTTGGTGGGCAACTTTTAATCTGCAAATGAACATGATGAAGAGTGAAACATCCAGTGATTCCTATGTCTCCTTCTCAATCATGTGGTCCTCAGGTGAAA